TCGAGCTTGTCCAAAACAGATTCGGCATGTTCAAACTGCTGCTCGTTTCCTTTGCTCTGGAAAACAAAACGAGCGCGCTTCGCACGTTTAACGGCTGCCTCAACTGATGAAGAATTTTCCTCCGTGAACTGCTTCTTAAAGTTGTCGAAGCGGGAGTCGATTAAAGACGATATCTGCATGGTAACGGAAGCCATCGAATCAGCTACAGCCTGCTGCACTAAAGAATGAAAACCATCAGAACCAGCGTTAGAAGAACCTTCTTCTCGCAAATCGGGAGCAACTTGTCCCGGAAGGGGCATCTTGCGTCTTCTTGTGCCTAACAAAAAATTATCTGCCTGGTACAGCTTACTGGAGCGAGAGTGACAAACAGCATACATTAACAAATATATATAGCTACATAGCACAATAGATAATTAACTAACACCAATAAGGGGTGATAATACCAACATGCCCAAGAAATAACACGTAGAAAGTCATTATCTCCTATACTCCGTACCGGAGATAATTTGCATTAAGATAACCCAGGGTTAGTGCGATATTTGAATTCAGATATGAAAGCTCAGAAAGCATTTCAGTTTTAATTCTTTTTGTCCACAAGTTGATGATTGGAAGCTCTAAAAATAGCACAGAAAATTATCCGAGAAAATGCTTTTGAACACAGGAAAAAGAGACCTGGGTTAAATTTAACCCCGGGTTAGGCGCTAATCGGCTTTTGACAACTGGGCCCAGCTCTGCACATGCCTCAACCTTTTTAGAACATTTCCTTGACGTCCATTGCAAGACTGACGTAAAACTTCCTCATGTCCTTTTCAGTCATGGAGGACGTGAACATGCAATGACAAATTTTCCTTTCTCTTTTTGAACCAGGAAAAATTCAAAATCATTTTTTTCAGGGACTTTGATATTGCCGTCGTCGTCGTCGTTGCTTAATAAGCTTCCCAAGGTTAATTACTTTCTGAGACAATTGAAACAAGGGAAACAAGTATCTCCACAAGGCATGCATCAGCTTTACAAATGTTAAACATCATCCATTACTGGCAATGGTGAATTAAAAAAATAAAACGGAGAAATAGATTAATGTGGAGACGAATCATTTGTTAAATACTAACTGAGAAATCCCACCTGAAAATGCAGGGCCACCAACGGAACAATTGGCCAAAGTTACAAAGTCCTTGCTGTCAAGAACAACTCTTTCGGATCCCCATTTGTACGCAAGTCGCACACTTAAAAACGCTCCTGTCTGGGATTCAAGGGAAGCCATTTTTAGGCCATACCATGTGATTTTCGACGTTTCGAAATCAAGTCGCAGTTTTCGTTCCAATGCCATTTTCACGTTCAAGAGTTTCTCTTGCTGCCTTGAACAAAGGATCACACGTAAATTTCCAGAACGTTTGTCCTTCAGCTTCAATACAGCGATGTTGGGATGACGTCTCATGCATCTGTCGAACGCTCTTTCGACGGACGCATGTAACACGATCTCTGACTGGAAGGATCCTTTCTCTCTCTGCTCTATTTCTCTCTTTTTCCTTTCTTTGTCTTCTTCGGTATGAACAAGTGCCACTGCATGTAGTTGAAGTACCTCCTCGGACTCCTTTTTCACGCGAAACATCTGACTGTATGTAGCTTCAGGCTTGTTATATCTTACGTTCTCACGGTAACAAGACAAAGGGAAATTGGTTGCATCAGTCAGCTCAAATCTTACAATTTTTGATGGATCATGCTTGGCGAAACGAATAAGGCTTAGCAACATGTTGCGAACATTATGAAGGGGAAAGACGTCAATTTTATCTCTCTCCGCGCGCCTGGTCAATGTATCCCTAAGGCGACGAGAAAAAAGGTGTAATCTCATATGCAATCTGATGTCTTGCCGGCTGTACTGAAAAAAACGCTTCAAAGGCTTCAGCATTTGACGAATTTCCAGACTTTCGCTCATCTCTTCGATTTCTGTAAGTACCGGATCCTTAACATTTTTTTTGGACAATTTTTCAAGAACACGACATATCAAAAAAACAAGACCCTCGTAATCTTCCTCCTGTTCTGCCTTTTCAACATCTGCCACGAAATGATCAACTTTTTCCTTTGACAATCCCTTTAAACCATTTTGTGGCTCCGTACTTTCGCAGTCAACATAGATTTCCTTAATGTTTTGAATAAGGTAAGGAGTGATGGCCAGGAGAGTTTTAAGACAGGGCTTATTACACAGCGAAAACACTTGTCTATACTTCGATGCGACATCTTGTGGTATTGGTCGTCGATTTGCACTTGACAGGTGATTCTCATTTGAATGGTTGACTAAAAAATATTCTGCACTGTTTGTGGACAAGGCTGCTTTTTCCACGCCCTCAGCGGAGCTTTCCATTTCGATGCACAGGTCTCTCAGTAATGTACAGCAAAAGTGAAACAAACCGGCCTCAGCATTCTTGATTGCAAGTTCTCGCAAGTTCCTTATAAGCATCTGGCCTCTTTCTGTAACTTTGTAACTTGCCTGGTCTGTAGAAATGCAATTTGTACAATAATAAATCAACAGATATATAATGCATGGTTCCATTCTACCTGTTATCGTCCCATACGTTTTAATTACTTGGCGGTCTATTCCAACTCTTGACACACAAAGAGAGACAGTTACCAACCCAACAACTCTTCATCATCAACCTTAAACAAGACGGAAGGAAGGGACTGGGGAGGATCAACCCCCTTCCACATTTTTTGCAAAATACACGTAAACTTATCCCACTGTTCCTGAGATAAAAATCGAAAGAAATACTCCAAAAATCCCAAAGTGCTGGACATGTCTCTGAGGTTTTTCGGGAGATAAAAATAGGCAAGATTTAAAAAGGACAAATCTTTTCATTGTTAAAATACCGTAAAATTCCGAAAATAAGCCCCGGGGCTTATATTTTTCAAAGGCCCTTTTTGAGGGGCTTATGTACGGAGGGAAGTTTGCGTTTCAAAATCGATTGGGCTAGCTTATAGTTGGAAGGAAATTTACCGTCTTTGGTTTGTTTTACTTTGTATTTGAGGGCAATTTCCAAGTACAAGCCCCCGGGGGGCTTATATTCGGAGGGGCGATTTCACGAAAGGTTTTTTATTTGTGTTACGAGTTTGGGGGGCTTACATTTAGAGGGGCTTATTTTCGGAATTTTACGGTAAATAAATATATTAGTTACTTACTTATATAATTAATAGAAGAAAGAAAGGTTACAAATGAAATTGTCGTGAATAGCTTTAGATGAACACAACTTTTAGTACTTGTGATGAACAAGTATCTAAATAGCCCCCCATGCAGACGTGCTTAGGGCTTCGTCACGGGGTCCTTCCCACGATAGGATTGCGTGACGAGCCAAAAGAACGTCTGCGTGGGAGGCTAGTATTTAAAAGGGTTTTACAGAAGGCGTCCATATATAAATAATTTGAATTTCATCAATAAAAATTGTCATGGTGAACTTCTTAACCTTTTTAAGAGGATAACTAGCGTTAGTTAAAAGATTATTCGGGTTAAACCTTTACCAGCGAAGCCCTGTTTCAAATTCTCAAGATTCCTTCTGAGAGCATCAACATCTTCAGCCACATTCTTCTCCATTGCTGACCAGTGTTTCAAAATTATGTTCAGCTGCTTGCTTTCGTCTTTCCAACACTTCGTGACTTGTCTCATAACCTCGTCAGGCATGTCAAGCGACCTAGCAATGGGAATCAAGTTGAAAATGGCATCTTCTACACCAAGCAAGCTCCTTACATAGCCACAGAGGTCTGAAACTAGAAGGATACAAATGTAAGTAAGCTTACCACGCTATACTTCAACGTCCTTACAGTTTACATTTGAGGTATTAACTTAATCCTATCAATAACTTTAAAACTCTATATCAAAAAATTAAAAAAATTGAAAAATACAAATAAGTCATTATTTTACAACCGTACCTCGTAACAGCAATTGTTAGACTAACAAACCTGAGGCCGACGGTGCGCTCATTTTACGCCCTCTCTCCCATCAGTGCTCCGTTTTACGGGTATTTACAGCTGCTTAAACCGACACAGAGAGGAAAGAAGTCGAAACAAGAACTTGACGTCACACCCGCTGGGAATCGAACTTGGAACTTGCCACACAGAAGGCCGCACGCTAACCGACTGTGCTAATCCTAGCTCTGTTTTAGATGGAATCCTTAAGAAGGGCTCAAAATGATGCGCTCTTCTTAGTAATAACAGTGCTTAGTGCGAGTAAAAGCCCCTTTCTCTTACTATGGGCGACCAATCAAGAAAGCTCTTTTGAAATCGGTTGTGGAAAATAATGCAATTCTGGTATTAAATTGGTTCAATCAGCCAACGGCAAAGAAGCAACTAATAAAGAGATTTAGAGTGATGTTCAGTTTACGGGCCGAACGGTAAACGTCAGATTCAAAAACAGTAAAAACCAATAGGCCATTTCCGAGTTGTACCAAGCCTCTGTTTCAAAGTGAGGCAAAGTGCGAAGCCATTGAGAAAAAAATGATTTTTTTATTATCATGCTATAAAAATTCATTTTCATGACGAAGGTTTTGCACTTAGCCTCGTTTTGAAAGTGAGAATTTTTGAATTTGGAAATGGCCTATTATTATAGACAAAACTTCCGTCAAGTATAAGGGAAAACTTGGTCACGTGATACAAATTCACCCTAAATCTCTCTAATTACTAAATGTAATCACTTTATAGCCGTTACTGTCGTTGTCATCGGAAAGGGCAATAAACTGTTTCATTAACAATAGTATGTAGATTATCTTAAAGCAACCAAGCTCGCATTCCGGACCTAGAAGTATGTAGCTCTCCTATTTGGGGGAGCAAAGGAAGCCGCGAGAGAACGCGCGTGCTTCTCGCGCGTCTACTTTTCACGAAATCCCCAAATGGAGAGCTTGCTAGTAGGCTAAGTAGTATGTAGAATGTATGTCCAGTGAACGAAGCTGCCAAGATTCTCCTGTAGCTCAGTCAGTAGACCATCTAGCCCCAGTTGTTCAAAAGGTGGACCGCCCACCCAGATAAATATTTCCAGTGGATATGTATTTGGAGGAACAATTTCGTTATCCCTTGGACAGAGATTTATACCGTACATAGTGCTATCCACCTTTTGAACAACTGGGGCGCGGACAAGAAACTAGAAACTAGCCATAGGTTCGACTCCTGTTGGGTGACTCGGGTCGCTTGTGTTGCAGACTGGATAAACATCATCCTAACAACTTACCTTTTTCACTAAAGTGCCAAGTGCTGATGTGTCCGTGTTCTCCCTGTACGGTTATCGTTCCGCACAGACTTCTGACATCTTGATTCACTTTAAGAGGAACCCTGACAACCTCTCCAGCCTTCCACCAATTCGAAGACTTTACATCCAACTCTTTTTTTTCCTCAACTACCTCGTAGTCTTCTCCAATGTGAATCTCTAAGCGAAGGATTTCGTTGTGGTAAATCCGCCTTCTTGGCTGAGAATCAATGCGACGTACATGTAGCTGTACAAATCGTTCTTTTTTTAGTTGGACCAAAGCTGAAGTTTCCTGCTTTTTGTAAAACTGTTCGTGATACACGTCTTGGCTCACAAATAGTAGGGCAAGTTCCTCTTCAACTTCCCTCTCCACCTCCTCGGACGAGGTATAGCTTTTCTTTAACACCAAAAAAGTGTAATGAAATGCCCGCGAGTTGAAACGGAATTTTATGTTTTCGGGGCGAGTCCAAGTGCATTTTAATAAAACCACAATTCGTGAGAAATGTCCAATCACAATAGTCACGTCTTGGTTTTCTACATCAATTTGTGTGTTTTCAGTAATATCCTCCCAGACGCTCTTCCCGACTACTGCGTCTGTCCCATGCATAACAAGAACGTCACTACACTTCATACCCTGAATAGCGAACTTGGTTGTCAGGGTGACAGGTTTCTTGAAGAAATAGCCATTCGGTTGAAGATTGAGGATGGGTGCACCAAACATGACATCATTTTCAAGATCCTTTCGAATGAGAAATCCATCATACTTGGAAGGATCTTCAAATGTTATGTTTACATTCACGGGACTGTCAACAGCTCCTGGAGGGTAAACCAGTCTGACTCCTTCCCCATCCACTACACCACCCTTGCTGGTAAGGATGCTGGATAAAACATTCTTGTCTGTCCATGGCGAATTATCCGTGTCGCTTGCAGGCGAATCATCTTTGAGAATAATAAGACACCAACAAGATCGTGTAGTCAAACAGTACAAGAGTATTACACTGATAAACGCTCTACTGACCATTTTGGCCAAAGCAACTCACTTTGTGTCTCCTACCACTTCAAGATGTGATGACTCTGAGTATTGGACATGGATGCAACTATCGGATCATTATGCGTTTCTAAGAAACTGCCCACCCACCCCCACCCCCCTCCCAATATTTTGCCCTAAGTGAGAAGTAAGTGTTACTGTTGGCTTAGGGGAGGGGTAGGTGGACAGTTTCCCAGACACGGATAATGTTTCCCAATATCGCCCACGATGTGGCGCTGCAACGAAATCGCCATCCTTGTCTGGCAACAAATAGCCTGTTGTTCCAAGCTCCAAGATAGTGATGTGCAGCGATGTGCAACGTTCGTGAAAACTGATGCGAAAAGCGCGGGGTCGAGGGGAGGGCTGGGGAGAGTGGAGGTGCCCGTTTGTTAGATCACGCCAGTTTGACCTTGTTCTCGCGACGTCCCTACTATCTGACAGCCTGGCACAGGCTACAAGACAAATCGCGCTCAATGCCATTTCAAATTTGGCGGTCTACGTGGAAATTCGCATCAAACATTTATGTTAAGTGCGCCTCAAATCCTTGATTATTTAGCTAATAAACTAGACAGTCTTGTACTTTAGACTGACATTCAATATTAAGCAATTGTTACCTTCTGCCTTTAACGAGCACTCAGGATCCAGTGGCGTAACCTGTTGAAGAGAAGACATTTTACCGGTGAGTCAAAAAAGTATTAGGGAGCTTAAGCATCAACGACGGCGACAGCTACAAAAAAGTCGCTTAAAAAGTGAATTCGCGCTGCCTCAAACTTTATCACGCTTATTCATCTTGTTTAATTTGTCAATAGCTGGCAAATTTTCTTGGAGTTGAATTCTAAAGGACTGTGTCAAAGTTCAGGAAAAGAACAAGAAAGTTGTTGTCTCCTGTTCTCGTCCTCGAAAAAACGTGAAATTAGGCACTTTCACGTTCTAGTCGTGCAAAGACGGCTAAGAAATATACCAAGAAGCGTGATGTGCACGTGCAAATTTGTTGTTATGCCAATCTAATCCTATTGCTTTTTTACAGTTCTCGTTGCCGTCGCCGTCGTCGTTGCTTAAGTTTCCTATTGTAAATGCTTTCTTGACTGATGCAAGTGCAAAGCTTTTGCGTACAATCTAACTCAGGATATCGAAAATGGGCCACTTGGTTCAAACTTTAATTTGCTTGCTCACCTCTTTGGATGGAAATGAGCTATAACCAGAAACAGCACTCACGAGGTCCCCGGGTAAATCTCCAGGTCCCCTAAAGGTACAAAAGCAAATGTTATAGTAAAATACTTTATAACATCGTTCAACTGTATGACAAATTATTATTGTTTTTTTTTATCTTATAGGCAATCCCCAATTTATTCAGGATTTCTTTTCGCAACTGCTCAAGTTAAGTCTTTAACTGCTATGATCTTCTTCGCATTTATTTCTTAAATAACGTATTTGATAAAGATTCCCCCTGTAAAAAGATGTATTAAGATGCATTGTTTTTGTGCACTGGTCCAGAAAGGGGAACATGCTTTCCATGTGTTTACAGTAAAACGCATATATAAGTAGTATGCAGGAACTTGAGAACGCGCGGACGTGTAGTCTTTAGTCAAATTGTTTAAAATGGATACCAGTCCATTTGTTAAATGGGAGGTAGGGTAAGATCACTCCAAAAGGAGAACGAAAAGTAAATTCTTTCTCTCCTTTGTATAATCTTTCATCTAGGGACAAACATATACATAAAACAATAAAATTATTCTTTACACGTTAATTGACTGGCCCGCCAAGCCTGGTACCACGGACGCCAACCGGAAGTATTTTTGCAGCATGACAGCCACTGCGCATGTCAAGACGTTCTTGAGCTGCGGTCACGGACTTCAAAACGCGAGTTCTCAGGTTGAAACCAGAAGTTCAAATTCTGGGTTCTTCGAAGAGTATTTGTAATACAAAAGTAGAAATTCTTTGTCTCAAATCATGTTTTGTTCGTAAGAAAGAAACAAAACTTAATGCAAGTCTTTGAAAGGCATTTTCAACTGAATTATTCTGTCGGCGTTCGTGATCGTTTCACGTTGTTTTGCTTAATGATTTGCATTTGGCACGCAAACCGTGTTCCCGATCCAGTTATGCGCTGCCAGCCATGTCGTTCGTGAATCAAGAACTTCTTGTGCTGAAGTTCCCTAATAGCTACCTGCACGCCCGTGCACTTTTGTGAAACTTGAATAAAGGAAAATAAAGATTATTGTTGTTGTTGTTGTTTTCGTTGTAAAGGGTACCGTGTTTGTCCGTGGTATATTAACATTTTTACTCTTCCTCCTAATCTCGCCGTTTCGTTCCAAGAGGAATCCTTCAAAGTCGCTCAAAATACCACTTTTGAGGCAAAAGACGGCAATTTATCATAAGTAACATATAATACAACGCTTATTGAGCAATGATCCACGCAAATATTTAGCGATATATATACTATAAAATTACAAACAGTTACACAAACAGATTGTGTGGCCCCCCTGTAAGATGAGTACAAGAACAGGCATTTTTAAAATGTGTCTCAAAAGGCTTTATCCGAGGTTGTAGCTCTCTTAGTCTGTTAAAGCGCTCAAAGTATATTGCAGTTGTAATTCAAATTGATCCAAAGTACGGGAGAGGCCTCTGTTGGTTCTTCAACTGATACTTCTGAATTTTTGTTTTATTACTTGCCTACTGGTTGATGGTTCCTTTGATATGTCTTCGTTGGTTTCTTGTTGCATCTGACGTGGGTTTTCTAAATGCCCTTTGAGTTTATTGCTGTCACAGTCTCTCTCGTCGTCATCACTATCGCGGTTACAGGCTTGGGTTTCAGGTCTCTCACTGGGTTCTTTAAGACAAATTAAAAAAATATTTTAGTTTAAGCATATAATTGGACGAAACCGAAAAAAAAAGCGAAGAAAATGGTCCGAACAATACATCCGAGTAACTGACGTTAGTGTTTCCAAAAGGATGAACAAAGGTTTGTGGGTTCACACTAGAACTTCAGGTAAGACTGACTTTATCTACTAAGGCGGTCGAGTGTGTACTTTGCTTAATTATGGGACTGTTGGACTTGAAACCTTTAGTAAGATGGCAAATGTAAAGGTTCCCGGTGTTTCTTGACGACCAGCAAAAAGTGAAATTGACGTAAGCGTTTGTGAATGCCAGGCGTTCACAGAATTGAGCTGAAATTTCATACGCCCGCCGTAGTCAGTAGGACGTTCGGTAATCGAACCCAATCGAACGCCGATCGTTCGATTGACTTCGGTAATCGAACTCACCCAAAACTTTTCCCACTGATAGAACACTTTAGCAATCGAGCATAATCGAACGTTTTGAGATGGAAACGTCAACAATTGAACACAAAACAAGTTTCATCTCGTCAGCTGATCTCGTTTCAAACAAGCATTGTGGTTAAAAAATAAGTTGTGTGTTAGCTTCAATTTCAAACCCGAGTATACAGGCAAGATGTCGGAGAAAGCCGAAATCGTGAAACCCAGCGTGAAACTAACAATTCTGGAAGCGATGGCCGTTACTGATGGTTAAAGGTTAGCACGAGTACAAGTGCCCTTTCGCCGTCGCTATGGATGAAAAGTTTTGGTAAGAGAAAAAGGGGAGGTAGGGATCCAGATCTTACGGTAACTGGCAATGGCGGCGGCCCGGCCAGCTTAGACTTTGCAACGTGAACTGATGCCTGTGCGTTGCCCATTGATCGTCGAAGTCAAAGTGTAAGTATTATGCCCGCTAAGGTCATTAAGCACTTCCAGTATTAACTGCGAATTTCTTGATTACTTTAACAATAACAGGGCTGCAAATAACGGCCGGTCAACGGACAATGTCCCGTCAAAAATAGGTTTTGTCCGGTCAAATCCTTAGATGGCCGGATAAAGATCTAAGTCAACTGAAATGTCCTTATGTTTTCCTACCTGCTTCAGAGGGAAATTTTTTTCGATTGAATTGAAACTAAATGATCACTGTTTTTAAACCTTTTTGTCTTTTTGCCGAGCAAAATCGAACAATTCACTTCGATTAAGTTCGATTAGTTCCAATGAGTTCGACGAGTTCGATTAAGTGAATTCACCGAAAAGTTCCAAGCTAGTTCCAATTCGATTATGTTCGATTACCGAACCAATCGAATAACAATCCGATCGATTTGGTTCGATTGATTTTTGGTTCGATTTCGTTTCGTTAGCTTCGCCGCGCATACGCCACCCAAGTTTCACGTATTTCATTAAAACAGTCGTTTTTATTTTGCGTTTCTCAAGTAATACTTGTCTAGAGAGCATTAATGCTTTCTGCATTCACGTCTGCCTCAAGTCTGACCACTTAAAGTATATGTCTGACTTGAAGTTCTAGTGTGAATATCACCAGGAAATAATTAAAATCACTGCTTCAACGTTTTCATGGTTTCCGTGCCGGAGCAAAGGTAATAAAAAGCATCCAATACAGTGTGAACATAGCCTAGGAGATCGGCGCGGCGCAGCTTCGCCCCGTTACCGAAATCGCGCCGAAATCACCCTTCTACTGACAGGCTAAGAGATCTGCGCGCCTACCTTCGCTCCGTTACAGAAATCGCGCCAAAGTCACCGTTCTTGTGTGTGAACAGAAGCCCTATCGGTTGGAATTAAACGATTAATTTTAAGCTTCTCCGAACAAAAAGATTGGTTTTGGCCTTTTACAGGTCAAACGCCTCTTTTCTCACGTATTCATTCAAAAATTTAACTTATTCCTGGTTAATAGCAAGGCTAACTTACCGCAAAAAGAAATTAATTTCGCCGTGTTTAAGTGATAATGACCTGGGGCCCGGAATTGTCCGGTATACTGTGAACATATATATCCGGTATGTGACTCCACTTCTTTAGAGATCGGCGTGGCGCAACCTCGCTCCGTTAACGAAATGGCGCCGAAATCACCGCTGTTATCCGTGTACCAGTCGAAAGTCCTGATCATTAACATGTAGGCCCGGAAACTGTTGTTGTTTGCATTCAAGATCGAGGTAATTCAGCAAAATGGATTGGTTTGTTAGGTTGGACCTGCGCTTTCATTCTTTAGTTTTTGATTTGAAAATTTGATTTCGAGGCGGAAACGTTAGCGGGACTTTCAAGGAATATTTTTGCGGGAATTAAGCTTCTTCACGCAAAAAATACAATGTCCTCTTTTAAAGTAAAGAATAATGTAGCTGACGGTCATTCCACACGTAAAGAGAGATGCATCGGGAAAACCTTTTCGTTTCACCTTGACAATGTTTAAAGCCTTCGGGAAAAATCGTCAGACGAAAAATTACTGAATTTATACACTTCTATATATTTGAAAATGATCCCAATTCAATTGAATCCTATCTCTTATTCCAAAACCGTGATACTGTAATATTTTACGATAAATCGTTGATCTCGGCGGGCCTGACACTTCATGAATAACCTAAAAAATTTTAGAGAAAGAACCGGGGACACGAGTAAGCACGAACACCTTTCGCCTTACTTCTATTAAGTACGATAACCTACGGAAAAGACGTGACAGTGTTCATAAAATATACCCACCTGCACCTTCTTTTAAAAACACCTCTCGACAAGCTTCATACTCTTCTTCCACGATGGTAGTTTTAAGTTTCACCTCGGTCAGCCCAAATCTTGTCAGAACATCCAGTGTTACTAGAAACTGTGCCATTTCGTTTAGGTAACCTATGCAATAGGCTTTCCACAATTCATCCAAGATCGCGAGAGAGCTACACTCTGCTGTGATTATTAAGCTTCCTTTTTTAACATCAACAATTATAACATTGCGAGCTTCATTCAAATACCGTATAAAATCATTAAACGCCTCTGGTGATGATGGCTCCACTTCCTGAAGGTACTTTGTAGCAACTCTATTCAAAACCTCTTGGGTAGAGGAAAACCCCACTGTGTCAGCACCTGTGGGAAGCAAAGTAGAGGGCGACGTTGTCTCTTCCACTTCCAATTCAAGTCGAAGATCCGCCAACTTTGCAGAGTATATGCTTTCATTTTCACCATCGCCATGGCCCACTGTTGTATCTTTCTTTTGTGGACCAGGTTCTATGACAGGGGAACACTCTTCTTCCAGACTGGTGGTCGCACCGCTACACTGCACTTTCTGCTCCTCACTCTTCACCTCTTCCAGTTCACGCGGACCAGCTGATTTAAAGAACTTGAATCTTATATAATCTAAAACGTCTTGTGCAGACGGAACGCCTCTTCCTGGTAGTCCAGGTCCAGTGATCGAATCGCAGTCAATATGTACATCAAGATAAACTGCAAGATTAAAAAAATGTGACGGGGATCTTTAAAATTGAGTTCTTCTGTATGTATTGGAACAGACTACATGTAACAAAAGCAATGTTCAGAAGAACTAAACAATCACTTACCGCACCAGCATTTGCTAATTTTAAGTGGCCGTACTCTCTTTTTTTGTTAAGTGTCAACCTTAAACTATTTTTCTGTATGTACCAGGAGCACTGATAATTAAAGATTGATTGATTGATTGATTGATTTTATTGTTTGGTTCTCCGATTTGTTGCGTTTCACTTTAACGTACGGTAATCTTTGCCTATACTGTACAAAAGAGACCTACAGTTTTCCTTCACAATTGTCACCACTGGTCATTATCATCATTACTGACAAATAGTAACTGCCAGAATGCTTTATAGGATTTTACGTTCTTGTGCAAGTTACCGGTAGGTCTATTGTTCTCTTAATCTCAAAAGGATTCATTAAAAGGGCCAGAAAAAGATACTTCGGACAACTGCAGTAAAAAATAAATAAATGCTTCCAGTTGTTATGACAATGGCTTATTCCTGAGATCGACAATAATATTCCAATGCATTTAGGCCACATTCGTTATCCCCTGGTAATCAAATCTCTTATACCTAGGTATCTGCAACTAACGACATTTACTATACAAAGTCTGCCTACTTCCCTTCTCCCTCCCCCTACAAGTCATGAAGGTCCCCTGATCGCATTGAGTAGTTTTATTCATGATCATGCAAGTTAAAAAAAATCAACAAAAACAGCAACTACAACTACCAATGGGGCACACCTCCAGAATGCATTCTGTCAAAGCTAACTGTTTTAGGAAAATGTAGGTGGAACTACTGGTAATGATCTAAAAAATTGCAGGATAGAATCTAAAAAGCCCTGGTCTTGGAATAAATCTGATGGTGAATTTTAAGCCCAGAGTGTTTTTCAGTCAGTGAACAGGAGAGTGGAAAAAACAAACCCGAGTTTTCCAGGAAGGAGTACAACCTATGACCTTCTAGTTACTATACACCACAATTTCCAAGTTGCCTGTCACACAGACAGAAAAATTCAAAAGCATTTATTGCCACCAAAAAGACCGCCTGGCAGCTTACTAATATTATTTTTTTATATGTATGGTAAATAGCTTTTCTGACCTCGTTAGCATTTGAAAAATACAAAAGAATTTTTACTTTTAAACGAGGTCAGAAAGGCTAATTGTCATACATATAAAAGAATACATCAATAAGCCGCCATTATGAAAGAGGTCTATTGCCATTCCAGTTCTTACAGCAAGAAGAATATTGATTACATGTACCAAGTTTAATGGCGTTAACTCCATGTACAACACTGACAGCAGGGCTATTGTTAAGAAACAACACTTACAAGAAATCTTAGATTAGGACAGCTTAATAAATCTGAGACCAGCTGGGTCAGCTTGCATAAAAAATATTTTAAATTCACATTTAATCAACAGTTCCCTTTGTTCTGGATGATTATGTTTACACAAAATCAAGGGAAGCAGCACATTTTAAAATACAGACTCCCTTGGAAAAGTCCCTTGGAACACAGGAAACAACTGCACAAAATTCTCACCTAATCTAACTATTTCCTGGGTCATTTCCTCGAGCAATATCTGTTCGCCTTGTACCACCCCCACCATTCTTTACCAACAATGATGGCCACAGACAGCACAAAAGGCAAAAAAACTGCCCAAAAATTATTACTTTAGTCATACTAACGATTATTAATTTTTCTTTATCTTGTCCTTCAGTTTTCAGTGCGTCGTACCTGTTGTGACCGATGTTCGCCACGGTGAGGTAACAGGTACTAAAGCCAACGCTTGCATCCCTTCTTTGGGTTCCTGTTGGATTTTCATGATCTCAGTAGATCCCCAATCTTTTTCATTTTTTCGTGTGACTTGGCAAACAGCATGGGCAGTAAGTTTAGCACTACCTGTTGGAATAAAACTCCTATGATGCACTTTTGTATTGGCAGAAAACTAAAAAGAAATTAAGGGAAAAGTTACGGGCGTGCCACTTAACACAACTCTGTGGTATGGCCATTACCTTATGCAACAGCACAGTTACACCTGTATAATAACCTGAGCAGTGACAGCCATGGACAGCTGTTTCGTCCTCATTAGGGTTCATCAGCAACGCATAGCTGTCAGACTAAAGTGGACTCAACAGCTCTATGCTGCCTACCACTGCTTGTTGCTGTTTCTTTTTACAGTTGTACTTTTCCTTTACAAAAACTAGATACAAAATTTGGCATTAACATGTCATAAAAATCAGAGATTTTAACAATCACCTTATTTAATAATAAAATCAATCCTATTTGAAAGTTCTTTAATTTAATTAGGAAATAGAAAGCTTCAAGTTGAGTAGGCCCATCAGAAGCATGAAAATATTACAAGCTACTGGTCAGTCAAGCAGAAAATGGAAAACACAATCCTTTCAAAAGTCCATCATTTTGAAGCAAAACCTGAAAACAAAGCCAACACAAGCGAAAAAACGTAACGCCCAGCATGACAAGACTTTTTATAGCAACATTCACGGTACAATAATTAATAAATGTAACTTTAAAATTCATTATTTATTTGTTTTTTTGTCACACAAATAACATAATAAAATGTTACAAAAGGTGTTCATTAAAATAAATTATAAGTTAATGTGACAAGGAAGCCTATAAATAAGGTGGGAGCTTATATTAATAGGGTAATGGGTTCATGATAACCGTCACGAATATAGAGACATTAAGTGACAACTAAGCCCACTGTGAGAATGTTGATGTAATTGCTGTAGTTACTATCCTTAAGCTAGATCCTTAAGCTAGCATCCTTAAGCTAGATTACTAATTACTTACTTGAGGGCAGAGTAAACAGAAAACATAAAACTTAAGTGACAGAACAACTATCAATGAGATAAGTTTTCAGATTAAAAAAAAAAACAGATATGGAAGCAGAACTGGTTAGTAAAATTGGCAACGAAATCCACATCGTTAGTCCTCGATAAAGGACACTCGACTGCTAATAATAGTTCCAATAAATGAGGTCTAAATGAGAGGAATAAGTCGAGTTTCATAACAGTGAACGTGATTACTTAACTTCAAAAGAGGCGACTAGAGCTACTAGGAAGAAGATTATGGCGATAAGAATACGTAAATGTAGCTACAGAAAAAGAATTACCGCTTAAAAAAAATGTGCCAAGGACCTTAAGTTGGCCAAATAATGGCTAGATAGCGAGCTTTTTCTATAAGTAGCCGTATGCACTTCAGCAAAAGGTGAATACAGTTTAGGTTAGAGCAGTAGGTGGAGGACCAGACAACATTACAGTGTATTAGGCAGGGATATACTAAAGAGTAATAATATAAGGTCAGATGTAATTATAAGAGAGTAATAAAAGGTCAGATATTCCTGGTCAACTCCGATGCTAATAAAACATGGATCACAAACAAAGTTTCATCTTTATAGATTACGGCTCTGGTAACTTTTTTCCGATATCTTTGTCAATGCCGACATAGCAAACGCGCAAAATGGGACAGTATACTCCCTAAAAAATCCAGTCGAACCACCTTAAACGTAACGACGACTGAACAAACAGTGGACTGAAATATGACATACTGATAAATGACTACTTATAGTAATAATACGGCTGAAGCGTTCCGATATCTCTTTTTGGTGCCGCCAGTATTTTAGTCAGTGCTCCTAACTTTTTTTTATCTGAGCGCCTTAAATTTTTGCTGTACCACCAGAAATTTGCACCTAGTGGTAGAATTGCTCCCAAGACCAAAAGTAAACTTTGAGTCCTGTTTTAGCCATAATTAAAATTTAGCTAAAAGCAAGATTGCGCTTTGTTTTCTTCAGTTTGCTTTTCACTCTAAAAGTCCGTCTGGTCACCCATCCCGCCATTTCTTAAACCCGACCATTATGGCTTAACTTGCTCATTCGTGAGGTTTTGCGAGACACTTATTTCTAGACGTATAGTATAGTTAGCGCTTGAACAAGAACACACACAGCATGAATACCATTCAGCAAATTTGCTGGAAAATCCTAAATGCCCCTAATGAGAAGCGATTTCACCAGCTCTACGACTCGTACGAGTCGAATCATGAACAGGGCCTTCTCTCTACATTTTTGAACTCTTCCCACAAATTCTAATCGGCACTAAGGAGATGCGATTTCACCAGTGTCACGAATCGTACAAGTCGTACCACTTCAACAGAACCCCCTCTCTACGTCTCTAAACCCTACTTTTTCCCTAAAATCTATACTCTCACTTATGTCATATTTACGTTTTTTCAAAGCATCTTGGAGAACTTTAATCGGGAGGTTGTCAATGAGTAGCAGTTTACAAAGCCGCGATGACAAACGTCGTATCGTTTGTGTCTGAATCCTTTCTTTTTCCACCAACACTAGATTAAGATTCAACGTAAAAAATTTGAATCCTTCTTAATGCGTACAGCTTATGCACCTCCAAATGGGCAAATTGTTTTCTTTGAGGAACTAAAAGCCACCTTAATGGAGTCTTTGCTACTAGATCTGGACCTGATAGTGCTCCGTGACAGCGGGAATGGTCGAGCCCCGATGGATTTCTGTGGTAATGATTTTAAGAGAAATTAAGGAAACATTTTAGCGAAAATTAAGTCAAAGTTAGTATGGGTTGGGGCGTGTGCGTGTACATGTTATAAATTCTGTCAAATTTTTGTATTATTTCCGATCCAGTTACTGTATGTGTGCATGCAAGAAAGAATTCTCTCTTGGTGCATGTTATACATAATAATAATAATAAATAATAATAATAATAATAATAATAATACAATATTTATAGAGCGCTAATTCCCAATGGTCCAAAAGCGCTTTACAAAATAAAAATTAAATAACATAAAGAGATACCCCTAACAAAAACTAAATTAAAATCCTATAAAACTACAACATCGTCCTATAAAACATCATCATTCTGTAAGACAACATCATATGAAACTTTAAAAAGCCAAGTCTTAAGCTTAGATTCAAAAGATGAA